GGGGGGGTTGATGTACGTGGTTCCATAGTTCAGCGCTGTTTTTGCATAAGGTTATGGCTTGTTCAACATTAGTTTTTTCATTGGGTGGTAGAGTAGCTAATAGTACTTGCCTTGCTCGTTCGGATTTGTAGAAGAAGTCCTGGGAGCGGAGGACTCGTGTCCAGTATTGTTTGATGATGGTTAATGTTTCCATTTGGTATTGAGATTGGTCGAGTCTGCCTGGGAGGTTGGAATTGTTGAATATTGTTAGGTAGGCAATGAGGGCGCTTCGAGTACTGTTTTGTAATGATTTGGCCGTGTCGTCTGAGGCCCAGATATGTAGGCCTCTACGTCCAGAGAAGACGTAGAGTAGAGAGTGGTAGCCGAAATGTTTGGTGAGAGCATTGTGGAGCACCTTGGCAGCTACGGCGATAAAAAGCCAACATGAAGGACATACTTTTTTCCCTTGACAACAGGTTCGAATCTCATCATAGTCATTCATGTCAATATCCACCACCAATTCACGCTGTAATGGCAACAAACTTTCACCTAACAAATCGCCCTTAGATTCCACCGTCTGATTATACACCGCACCTATATCAAACTTGTGCGGTACCCTAGACGACGCCAATAACGTGCCACGTAACTCTGGTCCACTCGCCGCAGTCAAATATCGAACATAAATCTCTTGTCCGTTCTCCTTCATCAAACTCATACTGAACTCCCGCAAAGGGAACGTCTCTTTACCAAGGTACTCAGTCAATAATTCAAACGGATAATACTTCTCTACAACCGTTAGGTGTGTTACACACACGCGAAGTAGAAGAAACAAAACACGTATGACTCTTACCATAGTACACACGCAACTCCTTCTGCTTCTCATAATACGAGTCCATTCGAGAACACTTGTCAACAACCACCTCGTTGTTCTACAACCAGTGTTCTCTTGGACTACAACTTTAAAAACTGTTGAAAAATAAATGCGGTCAAAATCACGACTAATTCTAAATACCGTGCAACCGCAAAATCGCATGGTCGGCAAATGCTTTGGCCGCAATCTCAGAAGCTTCCGTTGCATTCTCAATACCGTTCGCATAACCCAGGTAATTGGATACATAATCCATTATGAAACTGAACACAGAAAGGGTCGCCACCAACATGAATGTGTTAACACAGAGGGAGGGGAGTGACAGGGCAGAGAAAGGGGAGTGAGAGGGCAGAGAAAGGGGAGTGAGAGGGCAGAGAAAGGGGAGTGAGAGGGCAGAGAAAGGGGAGTGAGAGGGC